CCCGGCCCCGAGCCCGCTCCCGGCCCCGCCGCAAACTTTCCTGCGGCGCCAGCGCTGACCGCGTCCGGGGGCGGGGAGCTGTATGCAAATGAGTGACGTCAATCAGACCACGCCCTTCCCCAAAAAAGCCACGCCCACCCCCTCAAATTCCCTCTCCATCAGGGGTTCCTGCGTTTTCCAACGGGGGTCCCGCTTTTTTCCAATGCCCGACCACTCTTTCGGTGAAAAATTCTTTCCTAATGTTCAGTCTAAACCTACCCTGTTGGAGCTTGAAGCCGTTCCCTCTCATTCTGTCATTAATTACCTGGGAGAAGAGACCAGCACCAACCTCTCTACAGTGTCCTTTCAAGTAGTTGTAGAGAGTGATGAGGTCTCCCCTCAGCCTCCTCTTCCTCACACTAAACAGCCCCAACTCCCTCAGCCGCTCCTCATACGATTTGTTTTCCAGCCCCCTCACCAGCTTTGTTGCCCTCCTCTGCACTCGCTCCAGCACCTCGAGATCTCTCTTGTGTTGAGGTGCCCAAAACTGGACACAGTACTTGAGATGTGGCCTCCCCAGTGCTGAGTACAGGGGCACAATCACCTCCCTACTTCTGCTGGTCACATTGGCTTTCTTGGCCACCTGGGCACACTGGGTGTGTGTCCGTGTCCGTATCCCCGCACACATTCCCCACAGGAATTCCCTTCCCGGGGCTCCACGGCAGCACCACCCCCACCTCCCTGCTCCGGCCGACCCCGACGTAATTAATGGGGAAGATTAAGGCCCTCAAAGGCTTTCCGAAATTAAAGGGATAATAATGAGGAGGTTAAACCCCACATTTAGGATTTGCAGAATAATGCCTCCCAAAGCCTATTATTCACAGAAACATTTGTGTAATTGAAAAAAATCCCTTTTGAGTTAAATTTTAACGTTCCCTTCACACATTCGTAGCTGGGAGTCACGGAGCTGAACCAGCCTGAAGGAGACGGTGACGTGAGGGTGAGGGTGGCAGAGCCCTGGCAGAGGCTGCCCAGGGAGGGTGTGGAGTCCCAAATCTGGAGATCTTCAAGCCCCACCTGGATGCTCCTGAGTGATGTGCTCTGGGCAGCCCTGCTTTGGCAGGGGGGTTGGACTGGATGGTCTCTAGAAGGTCCCTTCCAACTCTGACAATTCTGTGATTTCCCTCATTTCCTCCGCAGCAATTTCACCCTCCTGATGGGGAAAGACCCACAGCGTTCCTACACCGAGCTTTCCAGAGGCACATTTTGGTTCCTCTGTTCCTGCAAAGGGGGTGAGACCCCGCTGCCTTCCCCGGCTGAGCTCCCCCACTGAATCCCAGTGCCAATGTTTGCCCCTCGCTTTGGCTGACTGGTAATAATCAGGAGAGGCTGAGGGAACCGGGCATGTTGAGTTTGGAGAAGAGGAGGCTGAGGGGAGACCTCATTGCCCTCTACAACTCCCTGAAAGGAAGGTTGTAGAGAGGTGGGGGTTGGCCTCTTCTCCCAAAGGAATCACGATAGGAGCAGAGGAAATGGTCTGAAGTTGGGGCAGGGGAGGTTTCGAGTAGATATTGAGAAGAATTCCTTTACTGAGAGGGTGGTCAGGCACTTGAAGGGTCTGCCCAGGGAGATGGTGGAGTCACCATCCCTGGAGGTAGTTAAGAAAGGTACAGACGTGGCACTTCAGGGCATGCTCTAGTGCCTGAGATTGTTGGGTTGGGTTTTTTTTTTGTGTGTGTGCATGGTTAGACTCAATGATCTCAAAACCACAAAGATTCTGTGATTCTGTAATAAACTATTAGTGTCATCTCCACCCAGGAAGGCAGAGCATCAGGCAGTAAAAAAAAAAAAAAAAAAAATCACAGCTCTGCATTCATCTACTTTCTACCTCTCTGGGCAGCCCAGACTTTCCTCCCTGCAAGAGGAGCCCAGGGGCAGACGGGTGGTGTGGGTCAGGGAAGCAAAGTCAAACCTATTTATGTCTGTCTGAGGTCTGAGCGTGGCACAGCAGATTTTTTTTGGAAAACCTTCTCACTTTTTCACTCTCTGCCAGCGCCGCGTGGCCGACCTCCGCAGCCCCAGCCCTGCTCAGCCCATCACCACCCATCCATCTCCCCGTTAATTGTCACCTCTCCTGACGAGCCACCGGCTCTTTCCGCACGTACTCTCTTCTCAAGGTTATTTTCAGCTTTGCAGCGTCACCAAAACACACAAGTTTGTGTTTCCAGCACTGCAGCAGTGGGGCTGCTCCTCTCCGCCGTTCCTAATATCCAGCATCAGCTCTTCTGTTTGGGAAACGTACAAAAAATCCTCACCCCTGCTCCTCCCTGCCACAGCGCCTGCATCCACAAATCACACTGAAATAAATGCAGCCTCTCAGGGAAAATTCTGCATTTTTTGGTAATGCTGATGCGTTTTCCCAGCTGAGTGAGCCACCCCTGATTTCTTTGGAGCCATCCTCGCGACGCACACGCGGCCCCAGACCTAAGTTCAGTGACAGTCATTATGCTTTACTGCAAGGGTGGGTGCTCGTTTGCTCCCTGCTTTGATTAATCAAGTCAGCAAAGCCGTGCCGACCCCCCCAGGCAGGGTGGGTGCACGCCCCCGGGGTTGTGCTGCTGCACTCTACCCTCTTCGTATTTATAGCAACGTGAGTTTTATAGCAAATTAGCGGCGCTGGGGCCGGTTAAAAGGTGATCACTAATGGAAATCTGAGCTCCTTCCACTCCGTCAAACCCATCCGAGGTTTGCCTCCTAATAAATCGGCCGACAAGGCTTGTGTCTAACCGTCCCCGTGATAAAAGACCAATTGCCAACATTTGCTGCTGTTTTCCTTTCCTTTGACATTTCATTAAGGAGAAAATAACACCAGCAACTACCAACGTGCTCTCATCGTTGTTTGTTGGCCATAACGTGGCTGGTTGTCCTGATTAAGTGAGCAGCTGGCCAAGGGGATGTACCCTGTTTCCAGGATGACAGAACTCCCCTCAGTCCTCCCAGGACCCTGCAGCTTTTTGGGGCTCTGCAGAACAGGCTGAGCTGCCCCCCGTTACCCCCCCAATGCAAAGAATCACTGTAACTCACCCCCCCACCACGGGGCTCAGCCGTAACCAACCCACACCTCACACCCTCACTCTGGTCCATCAGTAAAACTTGTCATTTTTAGGCATGCTCAGGACATAAATGACCAGAGTCATTACCACTGTTAACGGGTCAATTAACATGCTTTGGGATCTATGGAGAAAGGGCACTATAAATATGCATAGTATCAAATATTGCTGAAATAAGTATCTGACTGTACCGGTACTTGGCGAGGAGCTGCTGTTGATTGTGGTGAGTGTAGGGGGGGTCAGTCCCAGGGGATGGATCACCCGTCCTGGTGTCACCCGTGATGGTGTCACCCGTGCCCAGGGCTCTCCGGAGGGTGCAGATGGGACCAGCTCCAGCATCACCACCCACGATGCCAGGGATGAGCGTTGGTCTCCGAACGCAGCATCAGGCTGGAGAGGGGAGACAAAGCCTGGCATCAAACACTCATTTAAAAGCAGCCAAACAGCTGCTGTTGAACACATTTTGAAAGTATGTTTTTATTCTGAAGTTTTGCCACCCAAAAGCAAGGTTTTAAGCACCCTTAAGAAGGCTGCAGCTGCATCCAGGCCAGAACCAAGAGCTTCCACTCTTGGAGAGAGGGATATTTCATCTTTCCCTCCCATATCCCTGCTCTGCTCGTGCCACTTCTCATTCTGCAACTGCACAAACACCCAGGGCAGAGCCCCAGCTGCTCTCCCCTCCCTTACAGCCCCCGAAACGCAGAGGGCCAGCAGGTGGGCTCACCCCCAGTGACACCAAATTAACATACTAATTACCATCCCCGGTGCTAGGACGACCCTCAGGTGCCTCCCCCTGCTCCATGACCTGGATATTCTGGGTTTTGTGACCTCTTTAGGACCACGCTCCGGAGCGATGCTCACATGGCCTGCATCCCCAGTAAAATCAGGCTGATGCTGGGCTGCCTGCGCTGATGGAAAACAGGCCCAGGGCAATGAGGAGCAGTGATTTAATTGCAATCAAGGCCTGTCAGCCTCGTCAGCGTGCTCGATCAGCTGCAGCTGATGGGCTGGGAGCTGTTAGAGAAGGCTGCAGAGAAGGGGCTGCTGCTCCAGCAAAAACACCCCCCACCTGCCCAGCATCATGCTTCCAGGGATGCTCAGCACCAGATGCTGCAGAGGAATGGCTCAGGAAATCTCCTAATCCCTAGTAATTAGAGGCTGGCTTAAAATTTAAAGCATGAGACTTAACGTCCCTTTACCAAATTTCGTATGTTAATTAGCCCAGCTCTGCAGAGTTTTGGGTACCAAGGAGTAAATCTCACTCTTTTTTTGGAGCTCTGCACACTTTTTGGTGTGAATAATGTCCTGCACAGGAAATCCCACAGCCTACCTGCTCTCAATCCTTACAAAATATGACTCTGAAGGAGCTCTTATGCTTTGCCCTGACAGCAAATGGCAAATGAGGCAGGAGCTCATGAGAAAAGCTGCTTCCCTCCCTGCCTCGCTGCTGGTGGAGGCAGTAGGTGCCTTGTACGCCCTGTCACCGAGACGTATCCCCTTCTGCAGAAGGAAGAAAGGCTCCTGTGACCGGGGAGGAAGCCGAGCTGGGGAGCTGAGTGTGGTGGGAGGGATGAGGGATGGAAAATCCACATCAGCATCGACGCCGTCCAGGGAAATTGGAGGCTGCGCTTGTTCCCAGTCTGTGCTTGTGGTTTCCTCCCCTCAGACTCCCTTTTCTCCCCTGGTGAAAACAAGGATTTGCACAGGGAAGGAAAGCATTTACACAAACAAAGGCTTGTTTGCACACCCAGCACATCCTCCCCTGCTTCCTTGGGGTGGCACAGGGTGCCCTTGGACACCGGGAAGCAATCCTGCCCCGGCAGACAGTGCCTGGGGGGCACAGATATCCTGGGGGTACTTTCCAGCTCCATCTCATCGGTGGCTGAGCAGGAGTGGTCCCTCAGGAATGTCAGGAGGGGTCCCTTCCTGCCCTTATGGCCACATCCTCCCAGGGGATGGCCCCTTGTGAGCCCCCCCACCCCCAGATTTCAGCAGATGGCAGCTGATGGATGGGGGATTGAGTACAACCTTGGGAGGGCAATGGGGAGCTGGGCAAGGAGAGCAGCACGGACACTGGCCCCCAGCCACAGCCTGCCCGGGCACAGCGCCCGCTTTGGCATCCTGGTGCTGGGGGATAAGCCCCCGTCACTCACACAGAGCCAGGGGGGGCTGCCACCCATCTGATCCCTGCAGATGTTGGTCTGCTGGAGATATCAGAGCTGGCATAAAGTGCTCGGAGACTTTGGCTCAAAAACACCGAGCAGCAGCAGCAACGGCCGGAGCTACCGCAGAAAGATTGGGCTCATTTTTGCTGCCCAGGAGTTAGATGTCTGGTCGGATCTAACCATCTGCTCTCCCTCCGAAAGTTAAGGAGAAAAAGTGACATTTCCAGAGGAAATGGAAGATGAAGGCTCCTCAGAGGGGTCTGTCTTCTCCTGGTGACTTTGCACCCAGGCTGGGCATTTTGCTGGTTGACCAACACAAGGAGGTGCAGCCCAGCCCCGAGCCTCCCGCCGGGGAGTTTGGCCAAAGCCATTTGCCAAACGAGCCTCCAATTCATGAATAGTTTAGTTCCCCAGGAAACACGACTTGTTTCACGGTGAATTTACTATTCACCAAAAAGATTGCTCAGCTCTCAGTGCAGGTGGGGAGGACGAGTTACCCCTCGTGTGACTTCTCCAGTGGCTTCCTCAGATTCAAAGCTTTCAGGAGGGTAAAACTATGGGGTACAAATTCTCCTGGCACGTGCCAAGGAGGTGGCTGAGAGTGAAAGTCAGCTCGTGTTGATTTTAATTAATGTTCCCAGCGTAAGGACAGTGGGACCTGGCCCTCTTTGAGGAGTTTAGTCACTTATTCAGGTTAATTCTACCTTTTATCACAAGGAATCCACTCCTCGTCTTAGGCTTGTGTTAAACTCGATTAGTTTTACTGGCAGCGCCGGAGCTCTCAGATTGACACCAACATAAAACTTCGTTATATAATCCAGCAAAGATAAAAATACATCAGGGTAAAATATCAGCCGTTAGAGGAAATAACCAGAGCGCCCACACGTTTAATGCGTTCTGAAGAAATGGGGAGAGAAATCACGGTACTGTAATGCACAGTGTTCTGGGGCATCTTTTATCAGAGGATATCAAAGCACTTTACAAATCATTACTTATTTAAGCCTTGTCACATGCTGGTCACAGAAGAGAACAATGCTGGAAGCAGGGCATGAACTCAGGAAGCATCAGCAGAGACAAGGAAATATTTAAACTAAAGAGTTTTCCAATGGGAAACGCTGTTTCACCGAGATTGAAACATTTTGCCGGAGCATATTGATGTCGAGAAAGTTTCTGACAGACCAATTTCGAAGCAATTCAGCATCAAAATGGGATCTTGTGCAGTCAATATGCGGGAAAGGTTTTATTTCAAGTACAGGGTTTGCTTATGTCGTGTGTATATCCCGTGTAAATAGTTGTGGCTGACCTGAGCTAAATGTTTCTTTTCAGTCTTCTGGCTCCCTGATGCTCTCGTGGCTTCTCTTTGCTGTGACCACAGGTCAGCTCTGTCTCTTCTCCTGCCAAACAAAAAGCCTGGTGTTCCCACTGATGCTGGGGAGAGCACCCCGGGGTGGTCCCCCCACATCAGGTGCTTGCTTTTGTGAGATTAAAGGCTGTAAAATGTGACTCGGGTTCTCACCAACATGTGGCAGCAGATTAAAATCAGGCACCTGGAGCTGCCCCCCAATGAGCCCCTGCCCCTCTGCCAAACCCCCTCCATCCTCCTGAGCTGCCATAAATGAAACGTCCCTGCCTTTGGGTGGTCACATCCATCAGCAGGACACGGGCACCCGACAGCCTGATTTTAATCTGCAGGCACATGTCTGCTGGGGACCTTGGTGAGGCCAACATCAATCAGTGCAGGTCCCTGGCAGGGAAAGCCCTGCTGATTTTCAGCAGCTGAAAGCATCTCCCTTCCCCAGTGCTACCAGGCGGTGAAAACTCACCTAAATCAGCAGTGAGGTCGATGAACCCCTCGCCACAGAAACAGCCCTCGTGATTGTTTGATTAAAGACAGAAAGGGCTCAGCAGAGAGAGGGGATAGAAGACAGGGGGTGTATTTCCAGCTCTGCCCCTTACCTGGCAAGGGGATCTTGCTTGAGTCACTTGAGCTGCTGGTTTTGCTCTTGCCTGTGGATACGAACCCACCAGGAAGAGGTTTCCACGTTAGACTGAGCCAAAACCTCAAACCAGTTCCCCAAATGCAAGGGGTTCATTCAGGGTTCACTCGGGTCTCCCGTGACTTTGGGGAGAAAGAGAAAGACAACAGTCAGTTCAGAACGGTCTTTTCTTTGGCCTATTTAAGCTTTTAAAACCTTTTAAATTATTCATCAGGAACAAGACAACACCAAAAAAATTGCATTTTGAGACAGCACTTTGGACTGCCCTCCCTAAAAAAAGGCCAGCATCCAAAAAACCATCCAGGCACTGAAAGTCCCCACCCTTTCCAGTTGAAACTCTTCCCCTTGTTCGACCCAAATGACAAAGGATGTTTGCAGGTACCTCCTGCTGGGATTTGGGGCTGCCCACACTCTGCCCCCCTGCGCTGGCTGTTGCCATCAGTGTTGGTCCTCTTGGGATTAATAATTAGGGCTTGGTACCCTGATGATGCGCCTTAGACGTACCTGATGAACACACCTTGCACCCACGAGGGTGTGCTTATGTGTTTTGAAAGAGTTGACTATCGAGAGCTGAAGAAAAGCACTGAATTCAGTGAAATTCAATGAAAAGCAATGAATTCATGTCTGGGGAGCAGTTTAGATACATATTTCCCTGCACCACCACCCCCCAAGATTGCACTGGGTCCAGCATCCTTCCCTTTCAGAGGCAAATCTACCCCCGTTGCTCAGATGAGGATTTCTTAGGAATCCCTTGATTCTCATGTATTTCCTTTGAAAAAGGCTTCATCCTCTTCCCGTCCCCTAAAGCAAGCTCCTGGCAGATTCTCCATCCCCCTCATCTCCCGTCCTTTGCTGAGGTGGCAGCCCCTGAGCAACATTTCTCTGTCAGGTTACGGAAGACACGGAGAAGGGAATTTATAACACAAATGCCAAGGGAGTTAATGTGAACTGTGTGAAAAGCCACGACCGCCTCATGTAATATTACCACTCGGCTCAATTTAATGTGTTCTTAACGATAAGCAATTTTCAGTTTTTCCTTAAGAAAACCCTGTGCTGGCTTTTGCCTCTGCCCAGCAGCGCTGTCTCCGTCCTCTCTCCCGTTACAGCACTGCATTTAAGATGCTATTTCTCTCTCTCCAAGGTGTTTTTGCAGGGCTTTTCTTCCCTAGCTGCTTCAACACCTCCAGCACTGCATCACCGGTGTCAGAATTAGTTATTGCTGGTGGTTCTTTATGTTTAGGTTGTACCAGAACATCAAATTTAAGGTGCAGACTGGAACAAAACCATCGAGGCCGTGGCAATGGAAAACAGCAGATGGGCAGCACCTTCCTCCTCTGGTTGGGCAGATTTTGAAGCTAATAATAATTGCAAACACCTCTCCATCATGTTTAATCCTTTTAATCTCCTTACCCTCCAGTCCGGATTGGTGTTCCCTTTGTGTGCTGACATCTCTCCTCGTAGCCGGGATGTCTCTGCCCAACCCTGGACCCAACCATCCAGAGGGAGACTTCGTTAGGAATTTCTTTCCCAACATCCTCCATCCTTCCCATGAAGAAGGGGCAGGCAGGGCTGTGGCAGTTCGAGAAGTTTTCAGCAAGTTAAAAAAAGAAATAACCATTTCCTGATGAGTACATCCAGGGGTCACGTTTTTATTCCCGGTTTTGCTCTGGACGTGCTCTGTAGTGTTTGGAGTTGACCAGCTCTTACAAGCCTTGTTGTTTTACACACTGCCCCTAGGGTTATGTTATCAGATTACAAGCCTCCCCCTTCCATTAAAACATGAGGTTTCTAGATTCTTGTGGTTGAAAATATGAAGAACAGAAGTTCAGAAATCCAGACAGCAAGCAGAGAAATTTGACTTTTTTTTTTTTTAAGCCGTAGACTCGGGGGGGAGGCGCTGACTCTGGGTTTTTGAGCTTTTAATAGTCATACTGGAATCTGCTCACGTGGCTGAGGAGCTTGGCCCTCCCAGGGCTGAGAGCTTGGGGCTCAGCTGACGGCAAAGGGAAGGGCAGGCACTGACCGCCCGAAAAAGTCACCAAATCCTCTTCTGGAAAATAGTCTTGGCCTTTGCTGCCTTCTCTTTTTTTTTTTTTTTCTCCACTGTTGCAAAGCAGAATCGTTTCCTGATTTTTGAAGTGGTTTGAGATCCCTGGGTGAGAGGTGCAGCTCCCAGCAGTGATCAGGAGCCTGGTTCTTTCTTCTCTCACCCACAAGCAGAGCCAGCACCACGGACTCAGCCGACGGCAGAGCAGCATCACCAGGAGCAGCAGCTTGGCCAAAAGAGGCTCCTCAACCTGGGAGACAAAGAGATCACATCCAATTATTGAAGGATGAAGCTGGATAAATCAGACTCAGAACAGATTGTTTGGATTTTTTGTTGGGTGCTGTTTTGTTTTGTGGTGGGTTTTTTTTAAATCATTATTTTTAAGAATGAGTATAAATTGGCTATCGGAACAACTTATCAAGAATTGGGTTGGATCCTCTAGCAGTGGAAAAACTTAAGCTAAGCCTGGATGGTCCTGCTGAAAGGGAGAATTACATCCTGTGGCTTCTACTATTCAGGAATTCAGAGTGGCAATCCCAGCCTTCCCCTCTGACCTCAACCTGGCTGCACGCTGGGTTTCAGGTTGTTCCACGCTGGGTGCATCTGATAAATCAGTTCGTTCTGAATCCAGCTGCCTTTTCCTGCAGCTGCTGGTCTCCTGGCCATATGGCAGAGCCACACACCTACCCCTGGCCCTGGACTGCTCCTCTGAAGGCTGCTGGTCCCTGCATCATCTCTCCATCCCGTGCCTCCAATAGCAGTGCTTCCCACCCCGACGCGATGCTGAATGTCATTCCGCTCTCGCTCCCACTGAATCAATTACATTTCTTTGGAAATCCATCTGCTTTGAACCCTGCTAGGAGGTGTAACAAACCGGAGTATGGGTATTGATAATTCCATGTTAATAAGTTGAAAGAAGAAAGATAACTGTCCTTGAGCAAAGACAGAGGATGTTACAATAATGATCTCCCTGGGGCAGAGATTATCATGTTCCTCATGAACATCTTTCGCACCGAGGAGTGATCCCTGCTCTGCCTCTGCCACGGCAGATGATGCAGCCAGACTCTGGGTCGTTCCTCCAGCACCGAGACCAACAGGGGCTTTATTAATCCCAAAAGAAGCCAGAATGGTCCCTGCTGCTGCTTTTAGCTCTGCCACCACACTGAGACAGCAGCCACGCTGCCTGAGTCCCGTCCTGGGGCTAACCCTGCATCCCTGGGGGGATCTGCCACCCTGGGATGGGTCCTGGAGACCCCAGCCCCGATCCCAGGGAGGTCCCTTCCTACACAACCCCCTGCAGGGAAGGATCTGCCACGCTGTAAGCAGTTCAGAGCTGGGTTAAGCCCTGCTGCTATTTATGGTGCTGTTTCCAGGACAGATAATAATAATAATGTCATGCGACGAGTGCGTGACCACCCCCAACAGCAAATGTGGGGGTTGATTTGTGGCTTTAATTTGAGACTGGTTAGTGCCAAATGCTGGCTCTTCACATTGTGGCACGCTCAGGCTGCCTGACTCAGATGGTTGGGGACGTAGCAGTGAGAGCGTGTGAGAACAAGGATGGACTAATGTGCACCCTCTGGTCCTCCCTTGTCCCCTGCCCAGCATCCCGGGTCCCTTCTGCTGCCTCTCTTCTGGGACATCCCTCCAGCAGCCTCAGTCCAATTGCGTGGCTCCTGATCCATGAAAAGCAGATTATTTCTGCCATACTGTATGCAAAAGCTGTCTACGTATTTACACAAAGCCATTATATCCTATTACAATCTACAGCTCCCTCCTCCCACTGCCCTCCCCAGCCCCAGCTTTCCCACCACGTCTCAGCAGGAAAATAAAAGAACAAAGACCAGTTACCTGGAAAACAAAAGGTGAAAGCCAAGGTGAGGCAGGGAGATGTCAGTCCCATAGCAACAAGAGGTTTCAATTAATCACGTGTAAATTGGGATGCAGTGTAAATCAGGAAATACATTGCCTTCAGTAGCCAGTCCTCAGCTGTGTGCTCAGCTGGAGAGCAGTGCTATGTGCCGTGCCCTGGCTCTCCTCCCTCTGGCCATCAGCCCAGGGTTGCAGGGGGTCACTGGCCACCCTTCAGCCCCAGAATATATTGCTGCATCAGGTGCTGCTTCCAGTTAGAGAGCAGAGCTGACCAGACGCTCTGCCTTACAGAGAAAGAGGCAACGTGGCATCTAAAAGGTCAGGAACACAAAAAGTACCTTCACACCAGGTCCTCAGGGATGAGGTGGTTGTTCTGAGGAAGATGTACACAGCCACTCTCTGCACCAGCACGTCCATCCCAGTAGCTCCTGGATCCAGCAGCTGGTTTCACCCCTGCTCAGCAGAGCAACGAGGTCCCAAAAGTACTAATTTCCTCCAAGTTTCATGCACCCACTGCAGGTGGGTGGATTCAACTCTTCTCTGATGCCAGAGCCAGCAAGGCACGAGCCTGTGGGGAACCAGCCCCTCAGCAGGAGCAGGACCTGGGCATTTGTCCCTCTGCTACAAGTGCTGAGCCTGAGCCATACCCCGTGCCCAAAAAGAGTGGAGAAATCCCAAAAGCCACGCTGGGAGATCTCCCCACTGACCTCAGGGAAGGGATGCAGGGTCTGACTGGCAGGAGCTCAGCAGGTTTCCATCCATCCATCCATGGGGCAGGGAACTCCTTTTACTGCTGCTACATGAAATCAAACCAGGTCCCACCATCGCAGGGAGAAACATCTTCCCCCTTCATCCAGCGATCCCAGAGGAAGCCGAGGCTGCGCAGCCGGCGCTGGGAGCGTTTGACTCCCTTTTGCTGAAGCTTTACAGTCTTTGGTTGTTTCTGGATGTGGCATCTCCACTCGCCGGGAGCTGCAGGTCAGGCAGTGCAGCTCCCTCTGGGCTGTAAACCCCCCCGGCCGCTCTGCCTGGGAAGGAATCATAAAATATTGATTATTCTCAGCACACTCTCGTCCTCCAGCCGTTTAGCAGCTCACTCTTCCTGCAGTCAACAACAAAGCAGAGGCCCCTGCTCCTGAGCAAATCCCTGCTGGGTGAATGGAAGTGCAGGGACAGGGAGCTCGGGGAATGCAAGAGGAAAGGACTTTGAAACACGCAGGGCTGGGTGTTTTAATTTTAACGAGGAAAGAAGTACAGCAGCTGAGAAGGTTGTAGGAGCAATGCACAGCTGATGTGTGTGCCAGGGGATGATGTGGAATCCACAGATCAGCAAAGCACCTGGTCTGCTTGAAAGCAGGACCAGCTGAAGTGCCACCATCCTGGTGCATTAACCCCTGTGGTCTTTGCAATAACGCTGCTGGCACCGATTGCCAAATCACTGCTCTCTGTGCAGAGCAAGGGCTGTGCAGAGCCAGGCCATGGATGCCACGGGCTCTGATGGCCCCACATTAGCCCCATTTGCAAGAGGACACGAGGCCTTTCTTCAAGCTGACAGCGAGGGGTGGGATCACACAGCCCTCTCCTGCCAGAGCCAGCCCCGAAGGAGAGCACCGGGGTCATCGTTGACATCCAGTATATGAGCAGTTTCTTGGAGTGATGCTTCTCTTGCCGTGACAGGAGTGACTCTATCCTGTTCCTCATGGGTTCCCCGGGGCATTCAACATCTGCTCATATAGACAGGAGCACTGAAGGGACTTGTCCTGACCTGCCAGCACAGAAAGTATCTCCTGGATCGCAATTCCTGCTCTAGCCCTTGGGTGTTTCTACCTTCCCAGCTGCTTCCCACAGATCCACCCTCAATCAGCACGTAAATTGGCCAAGAATTCAGCCTAAGCTTTTCCAAAAAAGCCCAGTTTTGCTGGAAAACTTTGCTGGCGTGCAAAGGAACTGTGCCCGAGCTGTCTTTGCAACTGGGTGCCTGAGTCTCATCAGCTTGTGAGCGGGTCCCGATGCAGGCTCTTCTCCACAACCTTTATTCATGTTACTGGAGAACAGCAACAGCATCTCCCTAGGGAATTTTGGAGCATCCCAGAACGGGGAGATGAGGGGAGAGGAGAACAGAAGTGTTGCTGCAAAACAGTTTCAGGAAAAAGAGGTAGAAACACCTGAAAATGAGACAACACATGGTTTCTCTTCCTCTCTCAGCCCCGCAAACCGCTGGGTAAGAACTGCCTGCTTTATTTGGAAACGCTACTGTAAAAGGGGTCCCAGTGGTGTTTTGAAAGCTCGTGGCTTGGCTACAAGAATGAGCATCAACAGAGATTGCTGGGATTCCCAGATGGATGGGAAACGTGTTTATTTCTGCCAAGGCTTTTTTCTCCGTGCTCTCTGCATTAATCTTGTAGGAAGTGGCAGCGAGAGGAGAGGGGAGCGGGTTCAGCGGGGGCCGGGCAGATCCGCCGTGGGGTGTTTCTTCCTGCTCCAGCCCCGCTCCTCTGCCGCATGGCATTTCATCTGCAAACCCTCTGATGCTGCTGCCAAAAGGGAAACCCAAAATTCAGGGCCAAGAGGACGAGTTGCAGCGGTGGAGAAGTTGTTTTGTGTTTTAACTGCAGCGAGAGGCTGGTGCCAGGCTCTGGGCTTTTCCCCTGGTACCTCATAAACCTCTACATAGAATCACAGGATGGTTTGGGTGGGAAGGGACCTTAAAGATCATCGAGTTCCAACCCCCCTGCCCTGGGCAGGGACACCTCCCACCAGCCCAGGTTGCTCCAAGCCCCCTCCAACCTGCCCTTGAATCCCTCCAGGGATGGGGCAGCCACAGCTTCTCTGGGCAACCTGGGCCAGGCTCTCACCACCCTCACAGCAAAGAATTTCTTCCTGAGATCTGATCTCATCTCAATCCCCCCTTTCAGTTTAAAACCATTCCTCCTCATCCTGTCTTCTCGTCACATACTCCTGAGCTGCCTGGAGGAGCTGGCAGGGATGTGGAGGTGCTCAGCACCCAGCCCTCCCCTGGCCGTGCTGACAGTTGGTGCCAAAATCAGGATGAGGGCACAGAGGCCGAAGCACAGACTGGGATGAGTGGGACTGGGTGGAGGAGGATGGGGGCAGCTCCCAAGAGGGGCACCATCACCCAGCAAGAGTGCGTGCACTCTTTTTTATCCCCTTTTAGCAGCCACTCCAGCTGCTCACCAGCTGGTGTTTTAGCAGCTGGTTCTACCTGGTTGGGCTCGAGAAGCCCCTGCACATCTGCTGCCACTTGAAGCTCCTCTGGAAGCATCCTCCTCCGTCGCTTCAGAGATTTAGCTTGAAGGAGGAGAGAGGAGGTGAGTCAGTGATGGGGTAGGGAC